TCTGATGACGAATTTCCCCACGAATCATTATCACTCAATTCTGCAAGTGGTTCTAATTTACTATCGCTGTTCTTTAGCTGGTATAAAATCGCTTTTGACCTAAAGGGACACTTTTTGGACGCCATGGACGTTTCTCAGTTTCCAGGCAGAAAGAACAGTAAAAATGCAGGCAGGGCACAGGACAAAGCAGTAGGGACAAAATGTATGTGAAATGGTTTGATACAGTAATGTTTTACTATGTGATTTTAGTGTATTTATTGAATGTCACTTTTTGACATTTTCAAATTTCCCGCTGTTCCGTCAACCGTATGTCCCGACGCTCGCAGGGGAACGGAACCCAGAAGACAGATGCCGGCATCTGCCGGATTACATTGCCAGGGACAGTGCAGGAGGGACATCGCGGGAGCGCAGGACAAGGTAAGTGAAGAACAGATCCCGGATCAGCGCTGCAGGGTATTCCCGAGTGTAGCTCGGGGTTACCACTTGTGGTACTGAAACTTTACCCCGAGCTACACTCGGGAATACTGCCAGGGGGGTTAAGGTAACAGTGTATGCATTGCCAGATACTGGAGGAGGAAGCAGTGCTGGATCAGTAAGCTAAAAATTTAAAGGGACAACATCACGCACGTTAGTCGGTTGGAGATGGCGTTTTTTCTCAACTATCAACCTGCTACTTTAAATGCTCTTCATGCTGTGAGGAATTTTGTAATATGTATCTTGCTGAATTTTATGGAAATACTCTTTGAACTGAATAAAGGGCATTTTTACTTACTACACTATGGAGATACACATTTTTCTCTTTTGTTATTGATTGTGGTGATGGAAGCGATCTGGCCTGCAGATCCTATAAGGAGAGTTGTGGAAAGTGAATTCCTCTAAAGCAATCTTGACCATTTTATAACTTTATGTTGTAATGCCTATGAAATGTGTTGGCCTTGGACCCTTTGTTTCTTGGCTCATGTACACTGCAGCTGATAAACTGATGCTCAGGAGCTGTTCAGCATTTTTTTCAGCAGCCCCTGAACTCTCCCTAATGTTTTCTTATGTGTCCATGTACACATAGTCGTTTACAGTTGTTTACATGCAGTTGAGTTTACGGTTGTTTTTTTGAACGCACCAAACTTGCATTCAGGAATAGATTTTACCGGCGTTTCAATTGCCAAATGCTTGTAAACGCGGTTAACCGCGTTTATAAGCATTTGCGTTTAGAAGTGTTTTTTTAATTTTTTTCCATGTCCAGATGCTGTCCAGAGCCTTTTTTCTTTATCAAAAATGCATTCAAAGCGTTTTCCATGTATTCAAATGGACTTAGTATACAAGCGCAGTCAGTTCCAGGTTTCACGTGAAGGAAAACATGGTAGAACGTGCTGCATTATGCTCATGATGGGATCCACAGTGAATACAACCAGAAAAGACAGGTCATCTCAACACATACTGCTCTCTCTGCTTCTGCTCTCTATTCCTCTCAAAATGTCTGAAATAGTTAATTTGTTATAATTTTTCAGTGCATTCTGGGCATTTGGGAAGATCTCCTGAGGTTATCTTTTAAAAACGCACATAAACGCACATAAACGTGCATAAACACGGTATGCAAATGCCGCTAAACTGACGTTTTTTAACCTAATTTTTCCAGCAGTCAGTTTCCATCGTCCAGAAGAGTTTTCCAAACGCCCTGTGTACATGAGCCCTTACAATAAAGCATCATTGCCCAGATACCAGGAGCATGAGAAGTGACTGATGTCATTTCTCTAGGCTAATGCAGGCCATAGACGGGTCGTTTATCGGCCGAATTTTCGTCCGCACAAAAAATAGGCCGATATTCACGCCTTTAGTGGGGTCAGCCCACCGGCCGTTTTTCGTGGATCTTCTCATTTATTTTTATCGGTCATGCTGGAAAATCCACGAAAAACGGACACTTTTTGTGGATGATGGTGTCAGCATCGGCAACGGCGCCGACTGATTTTTCGTTTATTGGCCGACAATTTGTCAATGGCCTGCCTAAAGGAACAGAGTGACCATCAAATCACAAGACTGTTGGACTGCTTAAAGCAGATAAGAACTTGTTTGTGGGGTGAAACGTGTTTACATTAGACTGCTTAAATTAGATAAGAACTTGTTTGTGCAATTAAAGATGTCTACTTGCTTGAGAAGTTAGAAATCTTAAAGTTTAGGGTAGATAAGAAGAAATCTTTAAGTTTAGGGTAGATAAGAAGCTGATTTGAAGCAAAAGTGTGATATTCTTAGATAACACAGTGTAGTGGCTGGGCATGACTCTGTTATATTCACGGAACCTTTCTGTTAGCTCCTCCTAGAGTGACTGTGGCGCCCGGCCACTTTGAGAAAGCTGCCAGAAAAAGGGTTTAAAAACGGGGAGCTTAAGCGCAATCAATGGGTGCCTTCCTATGCAGACGAGGACACTCTGACGCTGGGACTCTTGCCAAGGCTATAAGAGCTCATCAATTGGTCGCGTTTACGGTTTCCCCATGACCCCCTGTGCATTATGGTTCTGATGGGGTCTGTTACTTTCCCATCTTCCCATAGCTTTGGTAATGTATTAATTCTATGCTTTGACGCTGTCAAAAGATGTGTCTATTTCATGCTGTAATGCTCACATTATTATTGGTGTGCGTTATTATGCAGATTGTGATGACTATAAGATATATCTTCCTGTGTGTCGTGTGATAATAAAAGTGGAGGTTTTGACAGTGCAAGAATATTGGAGCGTGTTGAATACATAAAGTTCATCTATATAAATAGACAAATCACATATATCCTTTTTTGTACTTATTCTAAGTTGTGGAATGACTACAGTCACTTGAAACATGGTGGACTCTATTAAACACATGGATTGTATGGACTTTGTATAATTTATATATATGGTTGTATGATTTGTAATTAATTAGCGCTGCTTTTATTATTTTGTGTTTATTTAATTGGTATCAAAATTATATAGTTACTGCTGGTACACATATCTAATTTTTGACCTAGCGCGGATTTGATTTTTTGATTATGTTATATTTAAAGTGACAGTGTGTCTCTTGCCGGATAGGAGACCTTAAAGCAGTGCTGGATCAGTAAGCTGTATATACAATAAAGTGACAGACTGTGTCTTTTCGGATCATGGAAAAGGAAGCAGTGCTGGATCAGTAAGCTGAATATAAAGTGATTGTGTGCTCTTTGTCAAATAGTGGAGGAAGAAGCAGTGCTGGATTAGTAAGCTGTATATAAAGTGACAACATGTGTCTTGCAATATCATTGAGGAGGAAGCAGTGCTGGACCAGTTAGCTGTATATAAAGTGACAACGTGTGTCTTGTCATATCATGGAGGAGGAAGCAGTGCTGGACCAGTAAGCTGTATATAAAGTGACAATGTGTGTCTTGTGATATCATGGAGGAGAAAGCACTGCTGGACTAGTAAGCTATATAAAAAGTGACAACGTGTGTCTTGTCATATTATGGAGGAGGAAGCAGTGCTGGACCAGTAAGCTGTATATAAAATGACAAGGTGTGTCTTGTCATATCATGGAGGAGGAAGCAGTGCTGGACCAGTAAGCTATATAAAAAAGTGACAACGTGGGTCTTGTCGTATCATGGAGGAGAAAGCAGCGCTGGACCAGTAAGCTATATAAAATGTGACAACGTGTCTTGTCATATCATGGAGGAGGAAGCAGTGCTGGACCAGTAATCTGTGTATATAGTGACAATATGTGTTTTCTCATATCATGGAAGAGGAAGCAGTTCTGGACCAGTAAGCCATATATAGGATGACAATGTGTACTTTATCAGATAGTGGAGGAAGAAGCAATGCTGGATCCTAAACTGTATATAACGTGACAGTGGGGGAGATTTACTAAAACTGGTGCAGAATCTGGTGGAGCTGTGCATGGTAGCCAATCGGCTAATAACCTCAGCTTGTTCAGTTTAGCTATGACAATAAAACCTGGAAGCCGATTGGTTTCTATGCACAGCTGCACCAGATTTCGCACTCTCCAGTTTTCTTAAATCCTCCCAATGTGTGCCTTACCAGATAGTGGAGGAGGAAGCAGTACTTGATCAATAAACTATATATAAGGTGACAGTGTGTGCCTTCTCAGACAGTGGAGGAGGAAGCAGTACTGGAACAGTAAGCTGTATATAAGATTATAAGATGACAGTGTGTGTCTTGTCAAATAGTGGAGAAGGAAGCAGTGCTGGATCAGTAAACTGTATACAATGTGACAGTGTGTGCCTTGTCAGATAGTGGAAGAGGAAGTATTGCCGGATCAGTAAGTTGATGGTATGTGCCTTTTCAGATAATGAAAGAGGAAGCAGTGCTGGATCAGTAAGCTGTGTACAAGGTGATAGTACGTGTCTTGTCAGATAGTGTAGGAGGAAGCAGTGCTGGATCAGTAAGTTGATGGTATGTGCCTTTTCAGATAATGGAGGAGGAAGCAGTGCTGGATCAGTAAACTGTAAAAAAAATGTGGCTCTGTGTGCCTTGTTAGATAGTGGAGGGGGAAGCAGTGCTGGATCAGTAAGCTGTATACAAGGTGATAGTACGTGTCTTGTCAGATAGTGTAGGAGGAAGCAGTGCTGGATCAGTAAGTTGCATATAAGGCCACAATGGGGGTTATTTACTAAAACCAAAGAGTGCAAAATCTGGCGCAGCTCTACATAGAAACCAATCGGCTTCCAGGGTTTATTGCAGAAGCTTAATTAAACAAGCTGAAGTTAGAAGCTGATTGGCTACCATCCACAGCTGCATCAGATTCTGAGTGCTCCAGTTTTAGTAAATTCCCCTCAAAGCTATCAGATAATGAAAGCTGAAGCAGTGTCAGGTGAAACTGTATCAGTAAATAAGATGTATAGTAAGTTTTATATACGCTGACAGTGGAGAAGGAAGCAGTGCTGGATCTGTAAATGAATATAATATATTAATCCAAAATCTATGCCTGTCTAAAGAGATGAGTTTTTATGATGTGCCATCATCTTTTGGTAGTAATATCTCTTATATTCTGCAGGAAAAAAGACCACCTCAGCAGTCTCAGTCCTGAACAAGCAGAACCTGGAGCAAAGAAAGACAGCATCGTCTGCTTCCTACAAGCTGCGCAAAGCCAAGTCCTTGGTATGCCCTATTGAGATTTATCACTAAGCTCTCCCAGTCACACTGGACCGAAAGCTACCTGAGCTCTCTTGTGTGCACATTGTGATATATGTTCACCATAGGCAGCCGTTCCCTTAGAGGCAGCACCACTAGGTATATCAGTGCTGCCCATCCAGAGAAGGTGAGACCATAGAGAAAGAGAATGCTCATTAGTTATATCAGTGCTGCTTATCCAGAGGAGGTGAGACCATAGAACACAGACTGCCCATTAGTTATGTCAGTGCTGCCCATCCTGAGGAGGTGAGGTTATAGGGGAACAGACTTCCCAATTAGCAATATCAGTGCTGACCATCCTGAGGAGGTGAGGTTATAGGGGAACAGACTTCCCAATAAGTAGACAGTGTCCCATCCTGAGGAGGTGAGGTTTATCAGACTGTCCATTTGTTATCAGTGCTGCCCATCCTGAGGATGTGAGGCCATAGGGAAACAGACTGCCCATTAGTTATATCAGTGCTGCCCATCCTGAGGAGATGAGGCCATAGAGAAAGAGAATGCTCATTAGTTATATCAGTGCTGCTTATCCAGAGGAGGTGAGACCATAGGACACAGACTGCCCATTAGTTACAGTGGGGATCGAAAGTTTGGGCACCCCAGCTAAAAACTTGTATTAATGTGCATAAAGAAGCCAAGGAAAGATGGAAAAATCTCCAAAAGGCATCAAATTACAGATTAGACATTCTTATATGTCAACAAAAGTAAGATTTTATTTCCATCATTTACACTTTCAAAATAACAGAAAACAAAAAAATGGCGTCTGCAAAAGTTTGGGCACCCTGCAGAATTTATAGCATGCACTGCCCCCTTTGCAAAGATGAGACCTGCCAGTGTCATGGATTGTTCTCAATCATCGTCTGGGAAGACCAGGTGATGTCAATCTCAAAGGTTTTAAATGCCCAGACTCATCTGACCTTGCCCCAACAATCAGCACCATGGGTTCTTCTAAGCAGTTGTCTAGAAAACTGAAACTGAAAATAGTTGACGCTCACAAAGCTGGAGAAGGCTATAAGAAGATAGCAAAGCGTTTTCAGATGTCAATATCCTCTGTTCGGAATGTAATTAAGAAATGGCAGTCATCAGGAACAGTGGAAGTTAAAGCAAGATCTGGAAGACCAAGAAAAATATCAGACAGATCAGCTCGCAGGATTGTGAGAAAAACAATTCAAAACCCATGTTTGACTGCACGATCCCTCCAGAAGGATCTGGCAGACACTGGAGTTGTGGTACACTATTCCACTATAAAGAGATACTTGTACAAATATGGTCTTCATGGAAGAGTCATCAGAAGAAAACCTCTTCTACGTCCTCACCACAAAAATCATCGTTTGAACTTTGCAAATGAACATATAGACAAGCCTAATGCATTTTGGAAACAAGTTCTGTGGACCGATGAGGTTAAAATTAAACTTTTTGGCCGGAATGAGCAAAGGTACGTTTGGAGAAGAAGGGGCACAGAATTTAATGAAAAGAACCTCTGTCCAACTGTTAAGCATGGGGTTGGATCAATCATGCTTTGGGGTTGTGTTGCAGCCAGTGGCACAGGGAACATCTCACGAGTAGAAGTAAAAATGGATTCAATAAAATTTCAGCAAATTTTGGATGGTAACTTGATGCCATCTGTGAAAAAGCTGAAGTTAAAGAGAGGATGGCTTCTACAAATGGATAATGATCCTAAACACACCTCGAAATCCACGGGGGATTACATCAAGAGGCGTAAACTGAAGGTTTTGCCATGGCCTTCACAATCTCCTGACCTCAACATAATTGAAAATCTATGGATAGACCTTAAAAGAGCAGTGCGTGACAGACAGCCCAGAAATCTCAAAGAACTGGAAGACTTTTGTAAGGAAGAATGGGCAAAGATACCTCAAACAAGAATTGAAAGACTCTTGGCTGGCTACAAAAAGCTTTTACAAGATGTGATACTTGCCAAAGGGGGTAGTACAAGATATTAACTCTGCAGGGTGCCCAAACTTTTGCAGACGCCATTTTTTTGTTTTCTGTTATTATGAAAGTATAAATGATGGAAATAAAATCTAACTTTTGTTGACATATTATAAGAATGTTTAATCTGTAATCTGAGGATGTGAGGCCATAGGGGAACAAACTTTCCATTAGTTATAACAGTGCTGCCCATCCTGAGAAGGTGAGGTCATAGAAGAACAGACTTCCCAATTTGTTATAACAGTGTTGCCCATCCTGAGGAGGTGAGACCATAGAGGAACATACTGGCCATTAGTTACATGAATGCCATCCATCCAGAGGAGGTGAGGGAAACAGACTGCCTATTAGTTACGTCAGTGCTGCCCATCCAGAGGAGGTGGTTTAAATGTATTAATATTATTATTAATGCCTTGTTTAGCTTTTTAATTAGTTAATCCTGAAAAAAATGAACAAATAATAATAATAATAGCAATCCCTAACAATTATCATATTTATTTTATATTATTATTATTTTAATATATATAATATAATAATAATATTATTCTGATGATAATACTTTATTAATTATAATAATTGTTTTATTACTATTGTATTATTTTTTATATTATTATTATTATTATTATTATTAATATATCATTTTTAAATCAAGTAATTAATGATTGAATTAATAATAGTGATAATAATGAAAATTATTTATTTTATTGTTATTTTTATTATTATTATTATTTATATTATTATTATCATGTATTTCATATCATACATTGCTCAAAAAAATGAAAGGAACACTTTGAAAACACATCAGATCTCAATGGGTGAAAATATCATGCTGGATATCTATACTGATTTGGACGGGGAATGTATTAGGAACGAAAGGATGCCCCATCGTTTGATGGAAATGAAAATGATCAACCTACAGAGGACTGAATTCAAAGACAGCCCAAAAATCAAAGTGAAAAAATGATGCAGCAGGCGAGTCCATTTTGCTAAAATTTCATTGCAGCAACTCAGAATGGTTCTCAGTAGTCTGTATGGCCCCCACGTGCTTGTATGCATGCCTGACAACGTCGGGGGAGGCTCCTAATGAGACGAGAGATGGTGTCCTGGGGGATTTCCTCCCAGATCTGGACCAGGACATCACTGAGCTCCTGGACAGTCTGAGGTGCAACCTGACGGCGTCGGATGGACCGAAACATGATATTCCAGAGGTGTTCTGTTGGATTTAGGTCAGGCGAGCATGGGGGGCCATTCAATGGTATCAATTCCTTCATCCTCCAGGAAATGCCTGCATACTATCACTACATGAGACTGGGCATTGTCATGCACCAGGAGGAACCCAGGACCCACTGCACCAGTGTAGGGTCTGACAATGGGTCCAAGGATTTCATCCCGATACCTAATAGCAGTCAGGGTGCCATTGTCTAGCCTGTAGAGGTCTGTGTGTCCTTCCATGGATATGCCTCCCCAGACCATCACTGACCCACCACCAAACCGGTCATGCTGAACGATGTTACAGCCAGCATAACGTTCTCCACGGCTTCTCCAGACCCTTTCATGTCTGTCACATGTGCTCAGGGTGAACCTGCTCTCATCTGTGAAAAGCACAGGGCGACAGTGGTGGACCTGCCAATTCTGGTGTTCAATGGCAAATGCCAATCAAGCTCTACAGTGCCGGGCAGTGAGCACAGGGCCTACTAGAGGATGTCGGGCCCTCAGGCCACCCTCATGAAGTCTGTTTCTGATTGTTTGGTCAGAGACATTCACACCAGTGGCCTGCTGGAGGTAATTTTGTAGGGCTCTAGCAGGGCTCATCCTGATCCTCCTTGCACAAAGGAGCAGATACCGGTCCTGCTGATGGGTTAAGGTCCTTCTATGGCCCTGTCCAGCTCTCCTAGAGTAACTGCCTGTCTCCTGGAATCTCCTCCATGCTCTTGAGACTGTGCGGGGAGACACAGCAAACCTTCTGGCAATGACATGTATTAAAGTGCCATCCTGGAGGAGTTGAACTGCCTGCAGAACCTCTGTAGGGTCCAGGTATCACCTCATGCTACCAGTAGTGACACTGACCCTAGCCAAATGCAAAACTAGTGAAAAACAGTAAAAAAAGATGAGTAGCGAAAAAAATGTCAGTGGCCTCCACCTGTAAAACCGTTCCTGTTTTGGGGATCGTCTCATTGTTGCCCATCTAGTGCACCTGTTAATTCCATTAACACCAAGGTAGCTGAAACTGATTAACAACCCCCTCTGCTACTTACCTGACCAGATTAATTGAATCGATGCTATACTCTGATTAAAAAGTGTTCCTTTAATTTTTTTGAGCAGTGTGTATATCTCATTTCATAGTTTGATTGCACTGCGACTGAGATTATACAATCAGATTGTTAAGTATAAGGCCTGCTTAACAGTCATAGCTTTAACCACTTCCCGTCCGGCTGTTGTATATAAACGGCCGGACGGTGGCAGTGAAGGGTCGGGTGGCCGTTTATAAATGGCCTCCACGCCCCCTGCTTGTGCGCGCTCCCTGGGAGTACGCAGCATCGCGATCCAGTGCTCACTGTGTTCTCCTTACACAGTGGAACACCGATCGTTGGACGGGACCTCTGTGCGAGGTCCCAATCATGTGATCACTGATTGGCGAATCAGTGATCACATGCAGAGTAGTAAGCAAGATATCACTTCTGACATCATTGCTTACTATGTGTGAAATCTGTGCATGATCACAGAGGTCACATGATACAGGGCTATTCACAACAGCCTTGTACCATGTGACAAGCTGTGACCAATCACAGCTCACACAGTAGTTCTCAATGGCTGCAAGAATGCAGCCAGAGAGCAGGAGAAATGATTGCTTTTACAGCCTTTATGGGTGTAAAAGCAATCAGTGTAAAAAAAAAATATTCATCACCCCCCACAAATAGTACAGTGTCACCATGGTGACACTTTACTGCTAGGGTGACAGTATGTAAAAAAAAAACAATAAATAATGATATAAAAAAAAAATAAAAATGTAAAAATTTTTTTAA